TGTGTGTGTGTGTGTGTGTGTGTGTGTGTGTGTGTGTGTGTGTGTGTATGTATGTGTTACTATGTAGACACCAGTGAGTATCTCCCCAGGTGTCACTCAGTGTGCTTGGATGTATCTTTACTGCTGGGTCCCTGGTAGGAGGAATGTCTTGGACAGGTCATAATTGGTTGAGTGTCCTCAGGGAAGCTCTCTTCAATGCTGTCACTCAAAGCTCCTGACACATGAGCACAGAGTTGGCCTCATGAGGGCTGGAGCTCAGCAGAAGAGCACTTGCCTAGCATGCATGAGGCCATGAGTTCAAGCCCCAGCACCACTACATATATACATACATACATACATACATACATACATACACATATACATACGTGGAACTGGTAACCAGGCATGGTAACACATGCCTTCAATCCCAGTACTTGAGAAGCAGAGGCAAGTGGATCTTTGTGAGATCAAGGCCAGCCTGGTTTACAGAGTGAGTTCCAAGACAGTCAAGGCTACACAGAGAAACTCTGTCTTAGAAAAAAAAAAAAGCAGACTGAAGGGACATTTCAGTGGTTAAGAGCTTTTGCTGCTTTTGCAGAGGATCTGGGTTTGATTCTCAACATCCACTTGGAAGCTCACAACCGTCTATAACTCCAGTCCCAGAGCATCCAATTCTCTTCTGGCCCCTGTAGGCACTGTACTCATGTGCTACACAGACATACGTATAAAACATCCATACACATAAAATAGGAATAAATGAAAAAAATAATAGTTGACCTCCAGAGTGTCCCAGAGGTAACACACCAATCCCATCTGCTTCCCATCCACCCCTACATCACAAGGTACACAAAGCATCCAGAAAAGCAGAGGTGGGGTGTCCATATGGCTCCCCTACTGCATTCAGCCAGTGTTCCCAGCTACCTGGGCTAGAGGTGGAGACTCACATGCAAGAAGTAGAGTGTAAGGCTGGGTGTGCAGGTGCACACACACAAAGTAGAAGAAGCAGGAACTCGAGGTCATCCTTGGCTACGTAATCAAAAAGAGAAAGAGTGGAGACAGCAAGAGATAGGAATGAATGAATGAATGAATGAATGAACAAATTGATGAATTAACAAACAAGGTGTTGTATATAGTCAAACTTGTTAAGCTGAAGGGTTCACAAGGGTCAGGGGAGAGGAGAATGCCCACCAATCTCCACTGATTCCTTTTTCTGATGGCTTTCAGGGTCCCAAAGGACCCAAAGGAGACCCAGGAGAGCCAGGGCCAGCTGGGCCCAAAGGCGAAACAGGCGAGATGGGCCTGTCAGGCCTCCCGGTAGGTGGCTGGACTGGGCCCTACCCTGGGGACTTGCTGATGTTGGCAGGGTGTGGGGCTCCTCACATGGATGTCCTGCAGCCTATACAACCTCAGCTGCAGAAGGACTTTCACATCCCCACGGGAACCCTGCAGGAGTGGGAGGGAGGCCCAGCCTGGCAGAAACCACTTAGCTGGGTGGCTAAGTGGCCCGAGCTGGCCCACCTCCCTGCCCTGGAGTCCAGCAACTGAATCTCCCGAGGTCTCAGTTTCCTCACTGCCAACGTGGAGTAACAACTTTCCAGTCCTAGTGGCAGTATGAACTGGACAGGACCAGAACAGCAGCTGGCAGTAAACACCCTTCACAGTCATTAGCATTTCTAGTGCTCCTGAGGCCACATTAGAACAGCTCCAGGGTGCTAGCAGCCTCTAGGGACCCATTACCTCACAGCCATTGTGCACCCCGAAGATGACTCAGCCAGAGGCAGCACCGGGATTTGAACCCTCAGTCTCTGCACCATGAGACAATTTGTCTGTGCCTTTGACATACAACTCCACTCCATACTCAGGGCGTGTGATTTGGGGAAAACTGTTTTAAACCGAAGAGTTCAGCTCATCCCTGCTGTGGTGGGGAAGGCGGCAGCTGAGCACGGTGGGAGGGAGGTGACCTTAAGAGCTCACAGGCCACTCTGCCCTAGGGTGCTGATGGTCCCAAGGGAGAGAAAGGAGAGTCAGGATCCGACCACCTACAGGAGAGCCTGGTAAGGGGAAACTGAGACTGGGGACTCTCCACACCCAGCCCAAGCCTTGTGGGGGACCTGAGCCTTGGTTACAGAGAAGCCACCTGGCCTGACCCAACATAGGACAGCGGGAAAGGGGGTGATGGAGCCTCAGACTGTGTCCTCCACCCTACTTCCAGCTGAGACCCAAAAGACCAAGGGTCCTTCACCAAGTTGTACCCTTCTGGGGGCAGGAATAAGGTTCCTTCTTGCCTGGAGGTTCAGGGTGTGGCAACCATGAGTGCTTGCGAAAATGTGGGGAGCTCCAGAGGACGAACAGATGGGGGGTTAATAGGCACAGGGTAACTAACCCATTTCTAACCCTTCCTAGGCCCAGATCATAGTGGAGCCAGGGCCTCCTGGGCCTCCCGGTCCCCCTGGACCTATGGTAAGGCTACCAAACATTTAGTGAACCTGGGTCAGGGACAAGGTTGGGAGGTAGCCAAGGGGAGGAAAGGCTTCTATGTGGGGGGAGCAGGGCACATCAGGTCAAGAGGGCAGAACTCCGGACAGAGCCACAAGAGCCATTAACAAGCCTGATTCCAGAGGGTCCTAGCCTTAAAGTTTTGACTCAGTCACACAGTCCTAATGATCTACTTTCTTCCTCCAGGGCCTTCAGGGGATTCAAGGCCCCAAGGTGAGTGCAGGCACACCCTGTTCATGAGAAAGTTTTATTAATGGACAGAGTGAGGCCTCTACTCAGCCGGTACATTCCCAGTGCCCTAAACAATGTCCCCAGAGCAGCCCTGTCCCATGTTTGGAGCTCTGTCCTTTCCTTCTCCCTCTGCCTAGGCACCCCAACTGTACCGCCCTTCTAGCCCTTCTCCCACCCCATCAGCCTCCTTGCCTATTTCCACCCATTGCCCATGCCACCTTCCTCGGTTCCCCTTTCCTTGCCCATGCACATCAGCGCTTTGACTGCCCACCACCTGGACTTGAAGTCTTGGATTCAGTGTGCATTTTATGATGTCGTAGTCTTGTCTCTTAAATCAAAACCTCAAGTGTATTGTGCCATGTGCCTATCCCATGGGAGGCAAACAGAATGAAAGTCCAGCTGGCCTCACCTCATGTCATACAGGATCTAATCTCTCCCTCCGCAGCGCAGAGGCCCTGTGGAGGACCCTGGGTCATACAACCCTGCCCCAGTGTGGTGGCCAAGCACTACTTCTGATCCTATTTTGTCCCAAGCTTCAGCACACCAGGGCTTGAAGAGACATCATTGGTGGTCCTAGTCCAAGGCTGGGCTTCAGGAAGCTGGTGGTGGTCAACTAAACTGCTTCTGTGGCATAATGGTGACCATCGGGGACCCTGTGTGTGGAAGAAGGGAAAATGTATATACATGCAACTCGCTCTAACGTGCAGCAAGCTGGGGTCAGACCTGACAGAGCCCGGAGTCTCTGTCTCTGTCTCTCTCTCTCTTCCATCTGTCTTGCCTACTTCAGTCACTTCAGTCTCCACACACACCTGAACTTTCCTTACCTGCCTGCTCTGTCCCCTCTCCTGACTGCTTTTCCACTTCACTTCCAGGGCCTGGATGGAGCCAAGGGAGAGAAAGGTGCATCGGGTGAGAGAGGCCCTCACGGCCTGCCTGTGAGTGTCATGAGCGGTCTTTGTCCTAGAGGTATTGCATGCTATGCTCACCATGCCTGTTGACCTTCTCCTCTTCCACCCAGGGACCAGTTGGCCCACCAGGCCTTATTGGGTTGCCAGGAACCAAAGGAGAGAAGGTAACCACCTGACTTTGAGCCCCCTGCCCACTGTAACCACATCCGCATCATGCCACACAGTTTTGGAGGCTCATCTTCTCTGCATCCTGCTGAGTCCCTGAACCCTGTGGGACCAATTACTATGGCTCTGTGACACCATCCTGCCCTGCCCCTTGTCTGTTACCAGCCACTGGGCTAAACTCCCAGTATCTGAGTACCCAAGATCCCATCACTACCTCCTCACACGCCCTCTGTATCTCTCCTCAGGGCAGACCAGGAGAGCCAGGACTTGATGTAAGTTTCTTATGGTCACTGTGGGTGACTGTGCCCTCCTGTGTATGTCTTCGACTCTCACATTGCCCGTACATATAGCAATCTGGTTAGCTCAAGTGTGGCCCATTCCTGATGGCTGCTGCTGACTGGCTTCCCTGTGTCCTCAGTGATATCCCCTGGAGTACTCTGGGGATGGATAGGTTGACAACCAAGGGATAGTGAAAAATTGACTAATTTGATGGATGAGTAGAAAATGGATGGATGAGATAATGGGTTTACAGAGGGTGGATAGACACAAACAGACAGATGGACAATGGATGATGACTGAGGGGATGGATGGATGAATGAATGGATGGATGGATGTTGGCTGAAGGAAGAATGACAAAGAGATGGTAAGGAATGGGTTAATGGATGGATGGTGAATGAATGGGTGGAAATGGATTGATGGCCAGGAATGATGGCTGAGGGATGATTGGATGGATGGATGGATGGGTGAATGGATGGAGCATTGTAAAAGGGAGGTGAGGAAAAAAGTAAGGAGGTTGTTGCTATGTATTGATGACCAGGCCTTGGTTAGGGCAGCTTTGTGAGGAGACAAAAGGAAATGTTAGCTTGATGTTGATTGTATCAGGCCTCCTTTGGTAAGGCAACATAAACTCACAACTGAGAAGTCTAGGGATTTAACATATGTATCCAGGGCACAGCCATGTCCACACCACCAGCCCTCTCCCTCTCTGGTCTTTGCCTTCCCAGTGTGAGAATCACCAGGGAACTATTTCAGCCCCTCCAAACAAGTATCTTCCTGGACCCAATCAGTAGAAAGATTCACCTCCCTCTACTGGTGCAAAGCAAATCTCCTTGGCTCCTGTTAACCAACCCTAACCATCATTGGGTTATAGGGATGCAGCATGCTCTCTAGCCATCACCTGGAGCTGGAGTGCTCAGTAGGAAGGGAAGGAAAGGTCCAGAGAGGTCATGTGGCAGGGGAAGGAAATGGGTTTGACGGAGAGATGCAGAGGCCTCTGGAGTATGCTCTAGACTGTAAGGAGAGTGTTGTTGCCATGGTGAGCAAACATGGCCTGGAAGAGAGGAACCAGTCAGTCTCCTGACTTGGTGGGGGCGGGGCTCACCTTCCTTTGATAAGACAGCACTATCCCCTATTGCCCTCCTACGCCTGTCTGTAGGTCTGTGCCTGAACACGTTTCTCATCCACACCCCATAGCCTGCCGCAGGAGACATAAGGGAGGAAACACACCTAATCCATTTCTGTCCCAGCATCCATCCCACAGCCTGGGCTCTATGGATGCTTAGTCATGAGGCTGGGTAGGTGGACATTAGACTAAAAGATGAATGCAGAAGAAACCGGGCCAAGACAGAGAGCACAAGTGACCTTCTCTCAGTCTGTTGAAGATGGCCACATGACTTTCATGGGTTTCCTCTGTCCCAGCCAAGTCAGGGCAAGTACCAGCTGTGTCTGGCGGTGGCAAGAGGGAAAAGCCCTTCTCCATAAGCTCTGGATATACCTCTGTGATGGTTCCCAGCCAGAGACAGAGCTGGGGCCCTAAATACTCCTTTTCCTGTGCCCACCTGGTACCCAGCATGCGCATAGGCTAACAGCCAGAACCTGGCGGGTTTTTGTGTCACAGTTATGTGTGAACAAAGGAGGAGGGTGGATGAGAGAGGAGCAGAGGTGTCATGTCACAGAGAAGTGGGGTCAGCCCTCACTTCAGGTCTAACATTTCATCCATCTGTCAGGGTTTCCCTGGACCCAGGGGAGAAAAGGGTGACCGGAGTGAACGTGGAGAGAAGGTGAGGAAGAAGGGAGATGGGGCAAGCAGCAGGTGGGGAGGTGGGTGCTGGGGCCAAGAACTGCAGAGCCTGGTGGCTGCTGGACCCTGGGGCATCTCCCTGGGAGGTGGTGAAGGGGTTCCAAACCTGGCAACCACAGCTACCCTACCATTTCCTTCTCATGCAGGGAGAACGAGGGGTTCCTGGCCGGAAAGGAGTCAAGGGCCAGAAGGGAGAGCCAGGCCCACCGGGCCTTGACCAGCCATGCCCCGTGGTAGGTGTCTTGGCAGGATGGAGTTCTGACCAGCCGGAGGTGCCATTGCCAGAATCACAGCTCCTTGTGCTGTGGCCCTGATGCTCCCACCAGTGTGGCTGAAAGATGCAGCCATCTGTGGAGATGGAGGCCTGGCCAGGGAGTGTTTACCATTCCTGGTTACTTCTGTTTACTCAGCCTTAAGGCAGAGCTGACCCATCTCGGGCTAACTTTGGGTAGGGGTAGAGAGGAGCCAGGACAGGAACAGAACTGCTTTTTCCCAGAGTCATCAGTAATGGGGGTCTCCTGGGAGGGGGCTAGGGGCTAGGAAGGGAAGCCCAGCAGACACACAGACTTGGTGTGTATCACAAAGTCAGGAAGTGGCCAGCCCCCTTCCCCCACCCTGACCATGGTTGCCTAAGACCTCACTGAGGTCTGACTTCCTATAGACTTGAGACTGGGCTGGCCTGAGATGGGACTTCTTCAGTCTTTGGGAGAGTCACACCATCCTGCCTCTCCTAGGTCTCTCATTCTCTTTCCGCTCCTTTCCTTCTGGTATCTTTTTTTTTTTCTCCTGGGGTTGGTCTAGCCTCGTCCCCACCCCCGTAAACACACAGACCCTTCCTTCCCTTCTCCCCCTCCTATCCGGCTCACTTCCTGCTGGCAGTAGCTCTTGATAACCCACCAGGCCTGGTAGTGAAACTCCCACAGTTCAGTTCCTGTTTTCTAGAGAGCTAAAGGGTTTATATAGCAGGGTCTAGTGTGGTACTCAGAAAGAACAGGAAAATGAAGCAGCTCTTCACGCTCAGCTGTCCAGATGTTCACTCCCAAGCACCCTCGTCAGGGCTTTGGGGAGTAGGCAGACTGACCCAGAGTCAGGGACCTCTACTCGGTCCTCTGCCCTCCAGTGAATTCCTCCAACCCTTTGTACCTTCCTCTCCTCCTTCCTAATATTTTGAGATATTAGTGAGAGAAAATAAACAGCCTAGAATCCCAGCACTCAGGAGCCTGAAGCAGGAGGATGGAAAGTTTGAGGCCTCTGCTGCACAGGGAGACTCTGTCTCCAACACAGACAGCCAGGGGCTGAGGACATGGCTCAGGTAGCAAAGCATTTGCCTTGTAAGTGTGGAAACCTGAGTTCGTATCTCCAGACCCCACGTGGAAAGTTAGGCATGGTGGTGTGTGCTGGCAAGGTGAGGACAAGGCAAATCTCCGGAGCCCACTGCCAGCTAGCCCACCCACTTGGCAGAGCTCCAGGCCAATGGACACCTTGTCTCAAACAAAAGGAGGTGCCTGAGGACCTAACCTCCACACTCACGTGCACACAAGCACACACATACACACACAGACATACACACAAACACAAAAAGACAGCTGAAAGGGTGAGAACCTAGCCCTGCTTCTTCAGAGCCTGGACCCAGACTTCCTCCATGTGAGTAAGCCTTTGTCTTCAACACAGGAACATCCTCGATGTGGAGGCAAGCGTGGGGCACCGGGTTCCCGGGGCCTTGTGAAGGGCATCGGGCCCTGCCCTGTGGTACGCAGTCTGGTTGCCGTGTGCTGTGTGCAATGCTGGGCCTTCTGGGATGCTTTGGGCTGCTGGCTCTGCCCCCTCTCTTCCTCCTTTCTTCCTTCTGGTGCATTCTACCCCTCCTCTTTTCTCCTCTCCTCACCTTCTGGTCCCCAAACCATACCCCAGCATGCACTTGGAAGGGGCTCAGGGAGTGTGTTCCATGTGTTTTCCCTGTACCTGTACTTTGGAATAGACTGAAATGTTTCTGCCTCAGGGTCCCCAGGGACTTGACATTTTGTTCACCTCTAGCTCTCCAGCCCCCCAGATTCATATCTGATGGGTGGGTGGACACTGTTGAAGCTTTCAGACATCCCCATCTTTAATGCCCAGGGTTCATCCTGATGACACTGTCTGCCTCCCAAATCCAGTCGAAGTGGCCAGGAAGGGCTGGAGAGATGCCAGCTCCTGCACTGTCACTGCTTGAAGGCATTCCTGCCCGAATCCTGAAAGCTTTCAGGGCCCCCAGGATGTCACGCCCAGCAGGCAGGCAGCCATACCACCTTTGTCATAGGATCCCACCCTCCTCTGGCTGGCAAATGTCTAGCACAGTGCCCATTATATTAGAGTGTCCTAGTTCTGTCCACTACTCAAGTGCCCCCAAAAAGCACCATGAGAGGACAGGACAGGTGCAATGGGGGACATTATGTCCTCAAATGGATGGACAAGACACCCAACCCTGCTTCAGTGGAATCCAGTGGCTTCAAGTAGCAGCTCCCTGGCTACATCTCCTTAGAGTCCCAGCAAGGGTCCGGGAGGTATTAATAGGCCACCAGCCTCCTGCCCCTGACATTTAAATCTCCTTTTTTCCAGGGCCCTGACGGGCTGCCCGTGCCTGGCTGCTGGCATAAGGTACTTTGCAGGAAAGGGTCTCGAGGGTGGGCCTGAAGGATTTGGAATGGGAGAGTTGGAGGGAGAGAGAGGATCCATGGAACCAGGTATCATCCCAGAGAGGTTTGAGTCTCAGTACCACTGTCTCAGGGACTGAATGGTCAGGATTTCCAACCTTGTTTGTGATTTTGTGGTCACATGGTCAAGGCTTAGCGCTTGGTCCTGGCTGATGGGTGTCATCTACCTTATTGGTCATCTGGGTCTTGGGTGACATCTGAACCTGTCAGTTGAAAGCCACTGGGGAGCCTCCTAGGACTTATCCTAACTGCCCCACTGTCAGGGGCCTAGAAAGAAAGGTGGGGTTACACTTGTTCCTGAAGAAATCATCAGGATAGAGGTTTCTGGTGGGGGTCACAAGGACCTCTCCAGACCCCTCCATCACCTTCCATCTCCCCCTCCTTTTCCAGTGATCCTCAGACATGGCTCCCAACCTGTACAGATCCGTTTGGATGTTTTTAACTTGTGTAAAAACAAAACAGTAATATATTGATCTTCTTTATGGGATGCGCCAACGGTGGCCTTTGAACATTTGAGAGTGTGCCAACCAGCCCTAGGACAACCTACACAGGAAGTCGGCAGGAAAGCAGACAGGCCACTCTGGAGAGTCTTGTACTCGAGGGCCCCCGGCAGGGCCTGGCTTTCCTAGAGAAGATAACGAAGGTGAAAACGCCTGGCTCAGGTGAGGCTGGACAGACTCCAGGTTGGGCCTGCAATCACCTGATTAGCAGAGACACACAACAACTTTCCCCTGATGCCCCACAGCCCCAACATCTCACTGTCCAACAAGACCCCCTTGGACGACTGCTGTACCTTCCTTCCTCTGGACCCTGCCACAGGCAGCTGCACTGAGACCCTGTGTTCAACAGGGCAAGCGACAATTCCTAGAATCCAGCACTTGGAGAGAAGGTGATGGAAAGAACAAAGAGGGTCTTGCTGTACCCAAGCTCAACAGGCTTCCAAAAGCCACCCTGTGAGAGGAGCTTGTATCCTCGGGCCTTGGGAAATGGCAGGACGCTGTGAATGCCTCAGTGTGGCAGCTCAGTGACCCCTGACTGTAGGGTTGGGAGACCCAGATGCACTAGTTGCTACTTCTGGTCTCCTTCTCGCCTCACCCAAAGCAGGAACAGAAAAACTTTGTCAGCCCTGAGGAGATAGGCCTCCTGTTCAGAGCTTGGGTCTCACTGGCCCCAAGTCTCCCACCTAGAACTCTGGCCAGCCTGGCAGAGACTGGCCTCCTAGTAGGTGGTACAGACACCATGAACCCAAAGGCTGGTCCCTGCTAGCCGGAGCAAAACACCTGTGACAGAAACCCCTGTCCTCCGAGAAGGGGCTTCAACACTGCTAACAAAGGTTCCTAGCTACCCGCATCATCCATGGCCTCCCATCCCTCTCTGTGCCAAGGTGTGAGTAATAAACCACACGTGTGTGTCTGGGTGTGCCTGTCCTTGCAGACTTCTGTGGTCACCTCTAGCTGAGTTCATCCTGCTGGTTCCTGCTGAAGAGGAAAAGGGCTCTCCCTAGGGGGAGAGCTATCCCAGAATCGAGGATATAGTTAAGGGTTAGGAGATAGGAGGGTATAGGCTCAAGACCTGGACCCATAAAGTCAACAGAATCCTGGGATCAGTCACACAATATCACTAAGTTCCTGTGTGCTCTTCTGCTGTGCTTCCTAAGCAAGAACACTCCAAACTTGTTGCCTCAAAATATTCATCTTCTCAGTTCCAAGGATTCAAGAGGACTAGCTGGGTGGGTCTCTCTTGGACTCCTCCTCATCCAGTGAGTGGTACCTGTCAGCTAGGATCCCAATGGTCATGATACCTACCTACCTACAACCTGTTTGAATGACCTGGGATTCCTCACAGCATGGCAACAGGATTTCTGGAAAGCTGTGTCACCTTGTATGACAAAGCCTCCAAAGTCATATGCTGTCACTTCCTGCCAGAGACAGAGGTTCATCCCAATGGAAGGGGGAAAGACAGACCCACCTCTCCATGAGCAAAGTGTCGATGTCATATTTAAATGAGAAAATTTGGGAGAGTGGATCTTGTTGTAGCCCTTCAGAAATAAGATAGAACCAGGTTTCGTGTAGTTCAGGCTAGCCTTGAACTCACTGTGTAGCTGAGGATGACCTTAAATTTCTGATCCTCCAGACTCTACTTCCAAGTGCTGGGATTACAGTTAGCACACCCATTTTTTACATTGCTGGGAACTGACCCTAAGGCTTTCCACATGCTAGGCAAGCTACATTCTTAGCCTTTGTTGTATAGCATCTTAAGAAATGCCTCCTGGGGCTGGAGAGATGGCTCAGCGGATAAGAGCATTGCCTGCTCTTCCAAAGGTCCTGAGTTCAATTCCCAGCAACCACATGGTGGCTCACAACCATCTGTAATGAAGTCTGGTGCCCTCTTCTGGCCTGCAGGCATATACACAGACAGAATATTGTATACATAAGAAATAAATAAGTATTTTTTAAAAAAAGAAAACATCATTTTAAAAAAAGAAGAAATGCCTCCTGCCACTCCTCTGTAGCATGAGACAGTAATGCTGAAAATTCAGATGCAGTCCAGTATGATTCAGCTTTGTGGAATACACAGAGAGCCTAGGACAGGTCAAACACCCCAAAGTCCCTGTGGCTCACTGTTCTCCCAGTATCTGCCCCAGGGTCAAGTAGTAATCACAGTACTGTCTAGAGGACCCATGTCTTCCCTCTGCATGTCTTTAGAACAACCTGGGGAGATGCCCAGCAAATGTACCCATGTCACGGATGACAAACCCACACTCTTTCTCTGTGTGTAGAGAAAAGCAGGAGGCTGCAATAACAATGCCTCTGGCCTCCTTCCTCTAAGGACTGAAGTCTATGGAAGACCATGCTCACCAGACCATATGCAGACTCATTGCTGAGCAGTAGAGGCCCAGCCACACACAGGTTATGTCAAGTCCCTACCTCTGTCCCCCTGAGGAGCTGGTGATAAGTAGACAGACCATGCTCTCTTCCAGTCAACTGAGAAACCAGAAATAAGAAAAGATGGATGGAGTGGGCCAAATGGACTATTGTGGCTCATCGGTGTCGATGTCTGCTCTGGAGATGCAGCATAGCCTCCCCAGCCTGCCATATGCTACAGCTAGCAGTGCACTCCTCTTTCCGCCGAAGAACTTGGTCTCCTCATCCGTCCTGCAAAGAGGGGGCTGCGGTGATAGATGTCACTATGTCCATTTTACAGATGAGAAACCTGAGGCTCTGAGTAGGTAGTCAGCTGCTCGGGAATGCACAGCCAGGCTGGAGTGACAGGCTTGGAATTGGACCCATGCTCTTAGAAGTCGCCTCCTTTGTCTGCAGAATTGTGTGGCAGTGTATGGAATCTGCTGGGAAATCGTCCCTTGACAATGGGTGGACAGCAAGTTTGGTGGGTGGGGGTTGAAAGCCAGTGGTCTGTCTCCCTGTTATTTCTCAGCCTGACTGCAGTAGACCATTCTTGGCCCGTTGCTGCCCTCTTGTGGCCTCATACCTGAATCCTTGCACATGGATGTGCAAAGCCACTTGAGTCCTATGCCAGCCTGGAGTGAGGACCAAGAATGACTTGCTCAGGGTCTCAGATGAAACACTGGGGAACGCCCTGCCTCACCAATGAGCCTCAAGGACTGAGAGGCCTTGGGTCTCCCTGGCTGGAGGAGCGGCTCTCTGTAAGTCCTACAATTCTGGAAGGAGAAAGGAGTCTGTTTATTGAGTCCTGGAGTGTTCCGTGTTCCGACAGCTAAAGCAACCACCAGGATGGCTGTCCCCCTGAACAGATGGATCTGAGGCTTGAGAGAAGCTGCCTGTCTCCATTCCCACTCTTAGAGAAGGCCTTGAGTTATCACAGACCTGGGGGACACTCATGCTGTTCAGTGGACAGAGTCAAGGCTAGCATACATCTGAAATCCTGGACACTCCTGGCCAGTGCTGAACCTGCTCACTGAGGATGCCAGCTGAGAAACCCTGCCTTAGAATCAAGGGGCGGGGGCAGGGTGCGGCTTTTTGCTTGACGAGAAAGGGTCTCACTATATCTCACTATATAGCCTCGGCTGGTCTCTTAACTTGCAATTTGGCCTTAGCCTCCCAGGTGTTGGGATTACAGGCTTGCTCTGCCATGCTCCCCTCTACATCCAAGCTTTGCTCAACCCCCTCTTGGCCTCCGATGTTGCCTTGCAGGTCAGCTGCCAGAAAATGGACAGACATTTTGCATGAGGCCGGGGCAGGCAGGTAGGGGCTTTTTGAACAGGAAGGTGGACTCTTGGGTAGTTTTATGGTTACATACATGCAACTCCACTCAATTGAGGAAGACAGAAGACTCTGTGGCTGGGTGGTGGTGACCGAATGCAGGAATGAGAACGTACAGATGCCTCTGCATTGTACCCTTCGAAATGACTTGTTTTTTATGTATATTTTACCACAATAAAAACAAGAAATGCAAGAATATAAGGTTGTTCTTTAATATGTATCCTAAACATTTCTGCAGTTTTGTGGAGAAGAAATGAGCTATTGGCTAATGGGCAGAGGTCTGGCATGTGGACAAGACTGCCCCAGCCTGCTGAGGGGCAGTCCTCAGCCTCTGTCCAGGGTTTGTCCAGGTTCCAGTGTCCAACCCTCTGGGCAGTATCTCTGTTCTCCCAGCTCCCTGACCGCAGAAGTCTCCTGTCACTCAATGTGCTAGCTCAGGAGGCCTTGCTTTAATCCAGCCTCTGCAGTAGGCCCACTGTGAGTCTGGGAGCAAAACCCTTTCTTCTCCCAACCCTCTTCCTATCTGCCCGCTGCAAGATTCTCTTCGTGTATCGACATGTCAAGTTCACCCTGCCTGGGCCTAGCAAGAATCTCTAGGGATCTCCGTAGTCGGTCGCAGCAATGGCCCCAGCTCTCCTGCACCGGGCTGGGAAAACGGGCGTCCTTCCAAGGTGCCAGTCATTACCCTCACGGGGCGTCACGCTTTAAGCACAGAGAAGACAACCTGCTTGGGTGTGTCCAGCCTCAGTCCTGAGTCCCACTCAACAGAACGACCTGGAGACACATTCCTGGGAGCTAAATCCCGGGGATGGGAGAGGCGAAGGGAGAGGAACGACCCTGGCCCAGCGCAGAGCATCCGCGAATCGTGGCGTGGGCCACAAGCGAGCTGGCTAGGGGCTCGCACGACTAATTGAGCGCCGGGAAGGGAGCTCCCGGGGGCGGGGCCAGCACTGAAGCCCCGCCCCGAACTAACGTGGCTGGCGGAGGCGGGGCCGAGCGCGCAGCCTCTGGGCCCTGACTGACAGCGTGGCGACATGGCCGCGGATCGGCGCCCCAAGGGAGCCACTCTGGACCTGAGGCGCCGGCTGCTCAGGTACCGGGTGCGGGCTTGGAAGGCGCGAAAACCCCAAGTCCTTGACTTCCCCGCCTCTCTCAGCCTCGGCTTCCTAGAAGCGGCCGTGGGCCACCCCCTGGCTCCGGGACGCCCCCTGCCCCGAGGAGCGGGCTTTGCCCCCGGCAACTGCTTGCAAGAAGAGACGGGCTTGGCCCGGGGTGGGCAGCCGGGTCACAGACAGGGTTAGACGAAGTCTGCTCTTGGCCTGTGAAGGGGACCCTTGGTTCCACGTGGAGAGGAGGCGGTGGCGGGGGCCAGCCACCCCAACCAGAGGCAGTAGGGCCCCTGAGATGGCAAGGAATGTTGAGGAGTTAAGATCCAACTCCTAACACGGGGCTTTTCTTCGGAAAGCCATCCGGAAGCCTTTCACCAGGACTGGAGGAACTGATGTATATGCAAGCAAAAGTGAGAGGGCTGCCAAGGCTTAGTCAATTTTGTCTCAGCAACTTTCTGCCCCGTCCTGTGCCTCCTAGGAATGAGGAGGCAAGCTTTTGTCCTTTCCAGAAGGCGGCTGTGATGAGTGCCGTTCCCGCTCCGGTCTTTAGACGGGACTATCCATTCTTTGCCTGTCCCCACAGCTCTTCCTGCAGACTCTTTTTTCCCGAGAACCCTGTTAAGATTATCCGAAGCCAAGGGCAGTACCTGTACGATGAGCAAGGGCGAGAGTTCCTGGACTGTATCAACAACGTAGCTCATGGTCAGTACGACGCCTCGTCCTTGGTGGTGCAGGAGAGGAGATTGAGGCTGTAAATCTGATTGGCAGCCGGGGTTGAACAGAGCAGAGGGGCCCCCAATCTTTGGGAAGGAGCCTGAAAAGGCCCACACCATATCTGTACTAAACCGGGCCAGAGTCAAAGGGTGGAGGCTTTAGGGTTCAAGCTCCACTTAGAACTCACGGCAAGCTGTGCATGTAGGCTGCCCAGCCATGACCACCGATGTAGCATGATCTTGGCCCTGTGCAGGGTCATGAAAACAGGCCTTCAGCCCTATTGACTGTTGCGGGAGACTACGGGAAACTGAAGTACGAATTCAGCCAACTGGGGCCACCAGAGCTGACGGGGGGAAAGGCAGGCTTTGAGTTAGAAGGCACACTGGAAGCAGAGAGGTTGAAATCCAAGACTCTCCCAGCACTCAAGGGACAGAGGCAGGAGAATCTATGAGTTAAAGGCCAGCCTGGTCTGCATAATGAGTTTCAGGACAATCAGGGCTTTGCAGAGAGACCCTGTCCCCGGGTCGGGGTGTTGGGGAGGGGCAGAAGTTACTTAGTCCTCTGAGCCTTGTTGTTCATTGGACAATAGACAAAACTCAGCTAGTGTAGCACTTAGTTTGACTCAGGTGTTTTGGATAATTGTGTTAATGCTATTATATTGCTTTGGCAATGCTTGGCACATGGTAAGCGCTCAGTAACTTTGTTCTGTTACTATCCCTGACCTCCGACCAGCCAGAGGTCTCAAGACACCTCTCTGAACACATTGGTTTTTCCGGATAATGTTTCTCCTTCTGCTGGACTCTCTCTCAAGACTTTCCATTCCAGAACATCATCTCTGTGCTTCCCCCGCCCGCACCCACTCCCCGCTTTGCACCCTGCCTTCATTAACTTCATCTCCCCTGCATGGGTTTGCAGATGGAGCTGAGGGGGGATCTGGTGGGGCTGGCTGATGATGGAGGTGGCCCTCTTGCAGTTGGTCACTGCCATCCCACCGTGGTCCAAGCCGCACATGAACAGAACCTGATGCTCAACACCAACAGCCGATACCTTCACGACAACATCGTGGACTATGCCCAGAGGCTGTCAGAGACCCTGCCGGAGGAGCTCTCTGTGTTTTATTTCCTGAATTCTGGGTAAGTGAACTGCAACCAACATGCCCTGTTGAAAACACGTCCAGAGAAGAAAGTCACCCATGTGGGTGCCGCGCCATAGAACTGCCTGGGGGAGCGGAACCCACTTCAGGGAGAGGCTTCTGACCTTCCTGGATGTAGACTCTGAAGCCTTTCTGTTGGCTCTTGGTTCTTCCTCTGTAGAAGACACCATCACCTCCCTTCCAGGCACACTAGGGCTTAGTGAAGTAATGGACTTCTCTATTTCTTCCTCACAGATTCAGTCCTCATGTGTGATTCATCAAGCTTAAGGGACATCAAATGTTCTTCAGAGAAATGTGAAATTGTGGAGGGGTCTTTTCTGGAGGGAGAGTACAGAGTGATGAGGCCTAGAAGCAGCGAGGGGCCTGACCTGACTGTGCCTCAGTGTAGATGCTAAGAACTCCTGAAGTGGCAGCTAAGGGAGGAGGAAGTTCCTCTAGGGGAAGAGTTTTTACCAAGGTCAGTCACCACCTGGCACAGCCTGAGCAAAATCCCTGTAACATAAAGGGGCAAAGCATGCTTGGTGACCCAAAAGAGGAAGGAGTGAGCGGTCCCTTAGCCAAGTGATAGAAGCTGTTTTTATCTTAGGACCACTAGAAAGCTATAGGGAATTGGGGTGAGGGTTGGTTTTTTGTTGTTTTTTTTTTTCTGGTGGTGATTAGTGTTTTTGATATTTGTTTTTAGTATGTGTGAGTGTTTGCCTGCATATATGTCTATGCATCGTGTGCGTGTCTGATGCTCGTGCGGGCCAGGTGGTTTCAGATCTCCTGGAACTGCAGTACAGACAGTTGTGAGCTTCCATGTGGGGGCTGAAACCAGGTCCTCTACAAGAGCAGCCAAGGCTCTGACCAGCTGAGCCATCTCTCCAGCCCCGCCCCCGTAAAGGGCTTTAATCAGGAAGGTAATGCTGTCCTGATGGGGAGAGCAAGAGTGGCTAGTGGTGGGAGTGGCCGTGAGGACAGAACCAGGAACATGCTCACCACCTTCCCACAAACAGCATCTGGTTATAGGAACAAGCCGTTAGCCACTTACAGTCTCCAGTCTCCTGCAGAACTTAGCAGTAGATTTACCATCTTCATTTCACAGATCACAGCGACTTGGTAGAGCACTTACCTAGTGTGCACAAGGCTTTTCCGTCTCTAGTGCCACAGTATTAAAAGGTGGGGGAGGGAAAGAAGTGGGAAGCTGTCTAGGAGATGGAAGAGCCTAGACTAGGACCTTGCTGTAAAGAACAAGGAGGTGGCCGGGCAGTGAGGTGGCTGGGCGGTGGTCAGTGGTGGCACAGGCCTTTAATCCCAGCACTCTGTAAATTCAAGGCCAGCCTGGTCTAGGGTTAGGGCTACAGAGAAACTCTGTATCAAAAAAAACACACAAAAGAACAGGGAGGTAGGCCCAGTCCCTGTGGTCTTCCTCCTCCACCAAGTTCCTTCTTCGTGGTCAGTGAGTGACTCAGTGACTTTAGGTTGCCAAGTCCCATGAGTGCTTCTCTCCCTTACCTCCTCACCTGTTTTCGGCAGCTTGACAGCTGTCACTCTTCCTGAGATGCTTTCTCCTTGTGTTTCCAGGCTCTGGTGTCTACCAGCTGCCAGCGCCACTCTTCTGTTCCGCGGGGCAGGTCCCACTCCTCCTCTGTTCCGCGGGGCAG